TTCCCTGTGTTTCCAATTCCTATCTGTACCAGTGTACATCCTCTGGTCTAGCCAGATTTGTAAGGTAGAATTGGGATCATGATAGTGGGAAGGGGAGGAAGCATTTAGGAACTAGAGGAAAGTTGTTATGTTTCATCGTTGCTACACTGCACCCTGACTGACTCGTCTCCTCCCCGTGACCCTTCCGTAAGGGGATGTCCAATTGCCTACAGATGGGCTTTGGGTCTCCACTCCACACTCACCCTCATTCACTATGATTTGATTTTTTGTTCTGATGATGTCTGATACCTGATCCCTTTGACACCTCGTGACCGCACAGGTTGGTGCGCTTCTTCCATGTGGGCTTTGTTGCTTCTGAGCTAGATGGCCGCTTGCTTACCTTCAAGCCTTTAAGGCCCCAGACGCTATATCTTTTGATAGCTGAGCACCATCAGCTTTCTTTACCACATTTGCTTATTCACCCGCTTTGTGTTCAGCGATTGTGTGGGGAAGCTGAGCATCATGGAATGCCAATTCAATAGAACAAAGTATTCTTGCATTGAGGGAGTACTTGAATGGAGGTCCAATGTCCATCTGCTACCTTAATACTAAATCTATACATATATGCACATAGATCTATTTCCCTATCCTCATGTATAAATATATTTACATATGTACGTGCCTTTATTTAGACCTCTATAAATGCCCTTTGCCTCCTAGTTCTTTCCTCTATTTCCTTTTACTTTCCTTTCGTCCCACTATCATGCTCAGCCTTCATTTAGGTTTCAGTAATTCTTCCCGGTCACATTACCCGTGATCACGCCCTACCAGGCATCCTACACCCTCCTCACCACCGATTTGGATCATTTGTTGTTCCCTTGATCTTGGGATTTTTATGATTTTACAGAATTTTTTTACTTACTCTCTCTCCTATAAAGAACTCGCACAATTCAATAATAACCCAATGTTCTAAATGGGCAAAATATACAAACAAACATTGGGAAAAATTTATCAATACCCAGTAACACACAAATTGTGTTCAATGTAACTATTCATCAGGAAGGAATGGCTACAATTACTAAGCCTGATAATACCAAATGTTAGTAAGGATGTGGAACAATCAGAACTCATACATTGTTGGGGGAGTGTAAAATGAAAAAAAAAAAAAAAACATGTTGAAATAAATGTGACAGTTTTATATAAAATTAAACATATATCTAGCTGATGTTATCACCTAGAGAATTGTTCAAAAGAAAATATATATTTTATAAAAAAGATTTATAGAAGAATATTTATAAATCTTCTATGGACTGGAAACAGTCCAGGTATACATCAATAGAAAAATGGATAAATGAGCAATTTATATTTATAGTGAACACTACTCTACAAAAAAAGGAACACGCAATTGATTCACATAGTAACAAGGATGAATCTCAAAAGCATTATGCTGAAATAAGTCATACACACAGACAGTACATACAAGGAGGGTACCCAAAAAAACTGGAATTGCGCTGGGTAGAGCACATCCAGCAACTTACTCTTAGTGCACCCAGTAGCATTGCCTGGAAAGGTTCCCTCTGGTCAGTGAATTTTTTCATAAAAGCAATTTTGTTCAAACTTCTTATTCTGCAATAGCTGATTTAAGAGAACAGTGTATGGCTGTGAAATTTGTTTCCTGCTTGGGAAAAATGCCATAGAAACTGTTGTGGTGCTGAACACAGATTAGAAGAGCAGTGCTTTGGGAAAATCTCAAGTGTATGAGAGGTTTTCGTTTCATAAAAGGTGAAATGTCAATTGATGGTAAACCTCAATCTGGACTTTCATCAATTTCCCAAAGGGACGGAAATGTCAACTCAAAATGTTGACAAGTAGTACATTTGGAGTTCATTCCACCAAATCAGAATGTTGATCAAGCTTTCTATTTAGAGGTTCTGAAATGATTGCATGACAGTGTGCAACAAAAAAGGTCTGATTTGTGGCAGACAGGTGACTGGTTGTGCCACCACAACAATGCACCTGCTCACACAGCCATCTGGGTGCACCAGTTTTTGGCAAAAACAGGATGCCTCTCTTGCACCACACACGTGACCTCACTCCATGCAACTTCTTTTTGTTTCCACGAATGAAGAGGGAAATGAAAGGACAGCAAGATTTGACGACATAGAAGAGGTGAAGAATAAAACGAGGGAGGTGCTGTCAGCTATGAGTTTGAAAAATGTTTCCAAGAATGGAATCACAGATTTGACAATTTAAATACATAGCTTGGGGGGATGGGGGATTCTGGGGTTTTGGGGGTAGCCCCTCGTATTGTGTAATTTCATATACCAAGTTTTAAAATAGTCAAAATTATGATGGAAAAAGTCAAAATAGTAGTAGCTTCTTGAGGAAACTTTTTGGAGTGTTAGTCTATACTTTGATAGTGATTTGGATTACACAGGCACATACACTAATGAAAACTCAATGAATATACACTTAAGATTTCTACAGGTGAAATTCACCTCAATGTTGAATTCTAGAAGATGCTATGTAGTGGGAAATACACTGATATCTGCAATTCAACTTGAAACACACCAAAAATAAGATGCATTGATCTGTGTGGAGCATAGATTATGATAAAGCAAATAAATTTAATAAAATATTAATGGTAAAATCTAGGTAGTAGGTATACATTTATTTTCAGCCTTTCAACTTTGCTTCATGTTTGAAAATTTTCATAATAAAATATTGTGATGTAAGGACTAAGTCCCGTCTCAAGCAAATCTTTAAACCTAAATATTTTCATGATAGGCAGAACTTCAAGAAGAGCTGCAGTGACGAAAGGCTCAAGACAGTTGAGTTTCGTATTTCTCTAGTTGAGCCCTGATAAAGTCTAAATATAAAATCTGATGGCTCTTGCCTTCAGCTTATTACTATGCATAATGTTTTTATTATTTAGAGTATACACTTAAAAAAAAGACAAAAGAAAATCCATGATGCCCCATACTTATTTCAAATA